GTTTCTCCTAATTAAGGTTGTTCCCAATTTGTTTACTCTTTTGGGGCAAAATTTTAAGACTTTGTTGTGTCAACTACAATCAATCCGGGGCAATCACGTCGAGATTTGATGAATCTCTCTAAGAGTTTGAAGACACCAGAGCATGGTGAATGCCAGGTCTTTTGTAAAATCCTCTTGAGACGATTTCTCCTCATCAACCATATAGCTCGGGGCATGTTAGAAGTGAAGCTATTCGCAAGAGTTGTCATGCAACATGCAGCTCATCAGCAGTAAACTTGGGGCATCCAAAATTGGTCCCAGGGGCAATCTAGATTTGTCAAGATGTGTGATATGTTTTGCACACATCATCAGAGGGTGGTTTTCCAGTATCTCCAGCTAAGCAAGACTTTTTTCCAGCTGAAGCATTGTTCGTGTTGTTATCCTTTCAACGAATTATCGACATTAGAAGATTAGACTTTGGGTTTTCTACCGAAAAATATCTTCCTCTCCAAAGAGATTTAAGCCTTGTAAAAGGACTTTGCTCCAATGATGGCTTTTGTTTTCTATCTCCAGTAATGTTACCATCCTGTTGAGATTAGCCGAGTGTCGAGTTGTACTGTGATGTCTTATCATTTTCTGTCCATCTCCCCTGTCTGTTTTGTCAGCATATACATGACATTCATTTATTCATTCACACTTGCATCATGCATGCACTGTTGTATTTGTTGATGTCTTTGAGTACGTATACCTTGGTTGTGTCTATTCAAATAGTGTATTTGATCTTTCCAAATAGAGTGTCAACTTAAGCAGAAAGTGTGCCTCTTTTCTAATTCCCCACTGAGTTAACTCTCGTGGAAGAATCTTGCTTTAGCTTTCCTTTTCCATCTCTGGATAGGATAAACCCCCATTTGAGTTGTTTCCTCATTGGGTGGAGTCTTGTTTGACTATTTTCTCTCCAGTTTATTCCTGGATTGAGCTTTGTCTCTTGTGAATGATACCCTGTGGATCTCTCTAGGCTGTGAAACCTAGATGGAGGTTGCATTTATTTTGCAACGTAAATACTTGGTCTCCTCAAGAAGGACTTATTCATGGTTCCCCATTGGAGATGAACTTTATCCCCCAGTAGTGTTATCACAACCCTCTTCTGGAATATCGACATGACAACAAGTGACTGACTCTTTATTTAAGCAGTTTGATTATTTCTGATTTCTCTATGACAAATGGCGGTCTCTTCATGAGCAGTTTGTCCATCCTCGGTGAAATTATTGACTCTCACCTCCAGTAATATCTTCATGATATTTTATGGGTATCTTTGAGAAAACAACAAGCGGCAGTTTCTTCATGAGACAACTTGTGTGTTATGGATACTCTTGACAAACAGCAAGCGGCAGTTTCTTCATGAGACAACTTGTGTGTTATCGATACCTTGAAAAGACAACAAGCGGCAGTTTCTTCATGAGACAACTTGTGTGTTATCGATACCTTGAAAAGACAACAAGCGGCAGTTTCTTCATGAGACAACTTGTGTGTTATCGATACCTTGAAAAGACAACAAGCGGCAGTTTCTTCATGAGACAACTTGTGTGTTATCGATACCTTGAAAAGACAACAAGCGGCAGTTTCTTCATGAGACAACTTGTGTGTTATCGATACCTTGAAAAGACAACAAGCGGCAGTTTCTTCATGAGACAACTTGTGTGTTATCGACACCTTGAAAAGACAACAAGCGGCAGTTTCTTCATGAGACAACTTGTGTGTTATTGATACCTTGAAAAGACAACAAGCGGCAGTTTCTTCATGAGACAACTTGTGTGTTATTGATACCTTTTAAGAAAACAGCAAGCGGCAGTCTCTTCATGGACAACTTGTATGTTATCAACACTTTTTGAAAACGGCAAGCGGCGGTCTCTTCATGAGCAACTTGTATGTTACTGATACTTTAGAGAAAACAGCAAGCGGCAGCCTCTTCATGAGCAACTTGTATGTTATTGTCACCTTTAAAAAACAGCAAGCGGCGGTCTCTTCGTGAGCAACTTGTATGTTATTGACACCTTTAAAAGATAGCAAGTGGCGGCCTCTTTATTTGAGCAGCTTGTGTATCCCCAACAATGATGTCTACTCAGCAAATGGCATCCCTTTCGGAAAAGTCCCGTGGGGAAGTTTGTTATTTTATCCTTTTCAAGCGATATTTTGGTTAAAGAAGAAATGTGTTACCGTTCTTGGTAAAATTCAGAAATCAGAGATGTTTATCTCCAGCCACAGTGCTGATGTCAATCATTTTATTTTCCAGCCACAGTGCTGATGTCAATCATTTTGTTTTCCAGCCACAGTGCTGATGTCAATCATTTTCCAGTCTCAGTACTGATGTCAATCATATGCTTTTCCAGTCACAGTACTGATGTAAATCATTACCTTTTCCAGTCTCAATACTGATGTAAATCATTCAAGAGTCTCTCGTTTGAAGTCTATGACTTTGTTTCCCCGGTGGAGTTACAACCTCTTCCTCTCTGGGATTACTGTATAATGTGCTTGGTTTCTCCAGCATAGTCTGTCTCATATGGCGTCATTCCCCATAAAATTCAAAACATCACATTCATATCATATTGTAAACATAATCGCGGTATCTTAAGGCCAAAAATTGTGTATTCTATATTTAAGTCCCTTCAATCTCGTCGAAATGAAGATCCCCATCTTCATATCTCCAGATAGAAGAAACTTAAATAGGGGCAGCTGTTGTACCCCAATTTTTGACCTAAGATCCCACTTGCATTTTTGCATTTTTTATACAAAAGTCAAGGTCACTAAATACGGTCGGTTTTAACCTCTTACCTTCGAGCTTCGACTATGTGAAGATTGTCAAGTGTTTTGAAAATTCTTAGCCTATGTATCATTAACTTCTACTCCAGCATGTGTATTTCTCGTTCCTTTGTTTTCATTTGCAGGAAACAGATCTGAATCAAGAGCATCAGGCGTCACGCCTCAATTAGGGTTCAGAATCTCTCAAGCCAGAAGTACAGTTAATCGTTGGTTCGTGAAGACTGATTCATCAGGAGAATCGTGCGTTTATTTCCGCGCCTTGTTCGACAAGTGGTCTCGAGCTTCTCTATAACTCTCTTAGAGCACAGACAAGATTTCATCATCACTGGTTCACATGTGCATCAAGATGCTTTGGAATGCAAAGAAAGATCAAGTTTGCGAGTCAATTCGAAGCACTTTGACCAAAAGTCAATACTTACACATCCAAGTTCAAACGATCGTAACTTTTCATTATTCAACATTTTTGAATGGTTACTTTTGCGTACAATTTTCTTTGACGTCATCTCTAACCCCTCTTTACCAGTCAAGGTCTGATTAGGTGCGGAGGATCATCAAAAGTTCGGATACTTAGAGGTCACTTTGATGACTGTGGCCTAATCTCAAGTAACAATTACTCGACTTTCAAGGATTGTAACTATTTCGATTTTCATCATTTCGGGATGGTTCTTTTTGCAACATGTCACAAATGATGTCGTCTACAAGATTGCTTCAAGGATCTACATCCGAATGCGTTTGGAAGGCCATGAGTTCGCTTGAACATTTTAGGCTTAGAATTGATTTTGTATTGAGATTGTTCTCCACTAAGTCAAGGGTAAAGGCAAGATGTTGAGTTTGAGGATTCATTGATTATATATTGCTATAATACAAGTTGCTTGTATTCGAGCATTAGTAATTAATGAATTAAAATTGGATTTAGATCAAGTTTCTTTGTTTGTTCATCAAGATTCGGTTCATGGTAAAAGGTTTAGGTGTTTTATTTGGAATGCATTTCAAGGTAAAAAAGACCATTCAAGGAATCTAAGTCCATCAATTCTACAAGGACTATTTCTAAGGAAAAGTTCTTATTCAATCCAAGAATTTGATACAAACTTTAAAGAAAATTTCAAGATCATTGATTCAAGGATATTTGTCATGTCTAGTTCAAAAGTGGAGAATGCATCATGCTAATTTTTAGGCATATCTCAAGTTTGCAATTTCAAAAAAATCTCAAGACAAATCCATTCCAAACTCAAATGAAATATTTAAAGTTACATACAAATTCAAGACTTGTTACAAATTCCAAATTTCATTACAAATATTATAGCCACAAAATCACATGAAAAAACATTGTAAATCCTAAAGCCTATTTTAAACTATCCTTCATCAATTTTCAAAATACCAAGTCTAAGTTTATGCTATTATTTTCAAGCCCATTTTCCTTGCTTCATGATGCATCAAATTGCTCCATAACTTGTACCAATGTTGTCCATAAATCAGCTGCTACAAACACTTCAAAACAGTCCAAACCTTGCTTCAAAATTATCCATACTGTATGCATATCAGTCCCAAAAACATGCTACTGCAATGCTGCTCCAAATCCTGTCAAACCTGTCCAAAAACAAGTCAAAATTCTGCACAAATAATGCCAAAAACCTGTCCAAAAGCAGTATAAAATTTCACAAAAATAGAGGATGCAAATCCTGCATTAGAAAGGGAAAAATCAGCATATCAATTTGTCCAAGACCCACAAATTTTCCCTCCAAAAATTCATTCTGAAGGGGGGAAAACAAAGCAAAAAACCTGTGGAAAATTTCTAATAAATCTCCAAGTTTAGAACACAAAAAATAACTAACAGAAAACATATAGCTTCTTCTCTCCAGCGCCTTTTTTCATTTTACTACCCTTCTTTCCCAATTTCATTTATGTGTCTTTGTTTCTATTCCCAAGCAGTAACTATTTTTCCTCCAAACTTCAATTTCAGCAACATCCCAATCGCCCTTCACCTCCCTCTTAACCCACTGTTAACACCACCCACCTCCAACCAACCGTCCTCTTCCATCACAATCCCACAAAACCAAAACCCCTTGATCTTCTTTTCACATAACTATAAGAATGTTTCATGTTATTAACTCATAGAACTTGAGCTCAAACAAACATTTTACCTTTCTTGTCTTCTCTCTTTTCAACTCATAGAACTTCATCTAAAATTTCACACCAACCTCAAAATGATAAGCGCTCTAGACTTATACCATGTCCTCACAGCTGTAGTTCCACTCTATGTAGCAATGATCCTCGCCTACGGTTCAGTAAAATGGTGGAAAATCTTCACACTTGACCAATGTTCAGGCATAAACCGTTTTGTAGCATTTTTTGCAGTCCCACCTCTCCATCTTCACCAATCCATGAAATCACCCTTTGAAGCTGATCTAGTAGCTTTTGCATTTCGAATTTGTGGTCAATTCAGATCTGGAAGCTACGGCTATGTCGTTCATTGGCACTCAGCTCAAGTGTAAGGCTCGTAAGAAAACGGTTTATCTTGTTGATCAGCTTTCGGCTGATGGTACTTCTTACCATAAAGCTTGCTTCAGATGCACTCACTGCAGAGGAACTTTAAAGCTGAGCAACTATTCTTCAATGGAAGGTGTTCTTTACTGTAAGCCTCATTTTGAGCAGCTCTTCAAAGAGCACGGCAACTTCAGCAAGAATTTTTAGTCACCTGCTACTACCAGCTCGCCAAACAGCCGTTCAACAACCACAACACCTACAACTTTCGCAATTTCCAGCCGCTCATCATCCATCATCATCCCATCATACCCATTACCGTCACAAACCCTCTTCCAATCCCCTTCATCAATTACCTTCGACCCAACCTTTCTCCTCTCTCTGCTTCATACCACACAGTTTTCATCCTCTCCTTGCCGCAACTAAACACTGTCACCAATCAAACGCCTCTATGTCCATTCTTATCTTCAAACTTTGAATCGTAAATTCCAACATTCACAAAATACATGAACCATTCAAACCCAGCAACTCCTCCGTCATCTCTCTCGCACTCCCTTACCTCACAAGACCCTTTTCCTATATCACAATCTTAGAACAACTAATGTTTTCACTCTTGACACCTTTAGTTTCCCTCCGTTGTTGAAAGCTGTTTCTAAACTTTCCGCCCTCACTTATGGTTTGGAGATTCATGGCCTTGCGTCAAAGCTTGGTTTCCTTTCTGACCCTTTTATTCAAACTGCCTTAATTGCAATGTATGCGTCGTGTGCCCGCATCATGGATGCACGGTTGCTGTTTGCTAAAATGTCTCACCCGGATGCTGTTGCTTGGAATACTATCATTGATGGGTACTGCCAGAATGGTCATTTTGATGATGCTTTAAGCCTCTTTGAAGATATGAAGAACTCTGGTGTGAAGCCTGATTTTGTTATCCTTTGTACTGTGCTCTCTGCCTGTGGTCATGCTAGAAATTTAAGCTATGGTAGATCAATCCATGAGTTTATTAAGGACAATGGTCTTGCTATTGACTCTTATTTACAGCCTGCTCTCATTAACATGTATTCAAATTGTGGTGCAATAGAATGGGAGAGCCTCTGAACAACTATTCTGCTGTGGTAGAATCTGTTCGTATCATGACTGGGTCACCATTTCAATTGTCATTCAAAAGGATTACCATCTCAACGGTTGGCATCATTCATGCTATCAACAAGCTTCATAATGATTTTCCTGGTTTGAACTTGGCAGCCTCACCACCACGAATCACCAAGCCCACTCTTCCACTCTCACAGAACTCAACCTATCTCTTCATTATATCCTCCAATGTGAGCACCAAACAACATCACCATCAACCATAAATCATCCCTTCCCTGTTTCCGATAACCATCGCCATTCACCTCATTCTCTCTTCCTGTTCATCAACCTAACACATTCCCCAATTCCAGCAAACTGGCCTCCTGTAATGCAAATTGTTCGGTTTATCTCCCAGGATCACATGAATAATAGCAACAGCAACAATGCACACGGAAATCTGAACAACAACACAGGGGCGTAGAAAGAATTACAAGATGAAAGAATGAAGTATAAGGAAAGGTAATTTCGTAGCAGAGAACGAGGAACACATGAATCATTACCTTAAGATCTCTAGTCTTTGCTTGATTAAGCCTTCGAGGAAGAACCACCGGAGGGTCTCCGGTCGGTAAGTAGCGAATCTTGTCATTCCTCAATCTTCTCACTTCATAATCCATATTATAGTGTGTTTTCAGATCGATAAATGTTATTGTCATCACTTAATTTGATTATTAGATGCGTTAGGACCTGATTTGGAGTTTGCGACTAGGATTGAATGAGAACGAGGTAGAATCTGTAAAGTGTCGTGAGCGAAGGAGATGAGACGAACCTGGTGGCGAGACGAAGTGAGGCGGAATTGTAGAAAGGACAGCGAGCATGGTTGCGCTTGTGGTTGCCTGTGGGTTGTGCGATGACACTATAGAAAGGTATCGGAGAAGAAAGCTCCACGTTTCTGAGCCTCACGAGAATAAGAGAGTTTTCCAGTAAAGGCTAATAGTCACTTCTTTTCAGCCCTAGACTCCTAAACATTGCCGTTTCATCACTATTATTTTTTTTTCCTCTTAACTTTCTTATTTTTCTTTTTTTTTTATAATCAGAAAATAATATCAAAAGAGTTGATGGGTCTGAGTTGCAATTCTACTGGGCCTTGCGCCTCTGTTTCTGATCATACTCCCTGACTTAAATTCACACCCCATTTTTTTTTTTTTATGTGCTTTTTTTAGTTTAATTCTATTCATTTTTCTTAGCTAAACTTATTTAATTTAGATTAGTTAGTTTCTTAGAAATAAACATATAGTTTTGATTAGACAACTTTTGATAATAATTTTAGTTTAGAATTATTCTAGTAATTTTGGATTTTTAATTTAGTTAGTAAAACTTTAGAATTTTAGTTTAGTTTAGATTTAACTTAGTAATTTTTAATTTTTATTTAGCTTAAATTTAACTGAATAACCTTAGAGTTTTAATTTCATTTAGCATCTTTAGAATTTTAACTTAATTTAGAATTAATTTAGTAATATTAAAATTTCAATTTAGTTTAGATAATTTTCGTCTTAGTTAGATATCTTTATTTCATGATCTTTCTTTATCCCTCTATTTAGTTTTTTTCATTGTTTATATTGACGTTGTTTCGTTTGTTATTCAAATTTATTTCTTCGTGACTTTTCTTTCATATGTTAGTTAATTTTGTGATATATTTTTTTGGTTTAACTCGTTTTAATTTCTATAGCTTACTCAACTATTTGTTTTCTTTATTCCAAGGGAAAGTATTAATTTGTTGACTTCATGTCATTAAACATCTAACAGGATCAAGCGAATACCCTCATTCATCTTTTGTTTGTTTACTATTTTGTTAAACCTGAGATAATTTTCCCAAAAGACTCCATTTTCAAACTCACACCTTTTAAGTCAAAACTTCGACACTAGGTCGTCGTATCTTCAAAAATCTTGTCCAACACCGATTTTTAGCCAAACGAACCATTTTAATCAAACAAACAATTTTAACCAAAAACAGATATTTCAAAAGGTTCCTGCGGAGTACCGCAGATGCATTGGGTGCTAATACCTTCCCATTGTATAACCAACCCCCGAACTCTCGATCTCTTTCAAAAAACACATTGTATTTTTATTACTTTTAAGTATTATTTTACATTGCATATTTTAGGGTTTTATTTCGCTCTTTTCCCTTTTCCCTTGGAAATAATAAAGCGCGGTGGCGACTCTTGCTTTTGCGAGTTGAGTTAATTAATAGCTCGATCTCCGATTTTCACCGCTACACTATCACCTCCATATTGCATCAAATGCTAAAGTACCCCGTCCAAGGGAAGATCATAATTATCCATGGGGAGGAGGAGTATATGATTAGTCATCTGAATTCCTTCCGTTACATGGAGTTAGATGGCGAATTCATTGATACCCCTTTCCAACATTTTGAAGAAGTCTCTCCAGAAGTAGCAGCGACCAAGGCAGTATCCTCGATTCCTAAGATCACAAGACCTCCTCCTCGGTTGTCTTCTCTAAAGGATGCAAGAGCAGTAGTGGAAGAAGGGGGATGCACAATCTGGAGTCAGCTTCCAGACATTCCTTACAAATCAGACAAGTTTGGCTTGGGGTTTACTTCAACTGGTTAGAAGGCTGTGCGCCGTGCCCGTGCTGGGGGGCCACCTGTAAAGATTACCAACCAAAGCGTCAATGCAGTAGAAGACAATGAAGAGGATGGCAGCTTGGAAGATTGGATATTTCCTACTGTCAGCGGAGGACTTTGCAACTAGGAAGCCAAAGACTTTGTCCCGATAACTTTCATATCTAAGTAATTTAACTTTTTTACATTTCTGTTGGACTTGTAATAATTCACAAACAATTCACACTTCAAAAACCTTGTGTCTTACCCGAGGCACAATGGTCCATTTGTAAGGGTTTTTATTTCATCTACATATGTCATTCAATGAATCATGGACGCTTTTTCACATATAAACCTTTTGTGCTCATTGTCTTTCTTTTACATTTTGTTATTTTAAGATGGCTATATCCTTACACACACCCACACTCACAAATGTAGGTACCCTTCTATTCCGGATCCCATGGGTAACGATACTGCTATAGCCTTCAGTGACTCTGAAGATCTAATCTACCAAGCCCAATATGAAGGTGAGGAGGATTGTGAGGTGCCAGGGGAATTGGCTAGACTATTACAACAAGAGGAAAGAGCTATTCAGCCTCATGAGGAGCTGTTGCATACAATCAATTTGGGTACCGGGGAAGATAGAAGGGAAATCAAAGTGGGTGCCAATCTAGAGCCTCCTGTCTTGATGCCTCCAGTCGAAGGAAGACCGCTAGTCATGTATCTGAACGTCTTAGAGAATTTAATGGGGTGCGTATTGGGGAAGCATGACAAGTCTGGCCGAAAAGAGCACACCATTTATTACCTAAGCAAAAAGTTTACCGACGGTGAAACCATATATTCACTGCTCGAGAAAACTTGCTGCGCTTTGGTATGGGCTGCTCGCCGGCTAAGACAGTATATGTTGACTCATACCACTTTGCTGATATCTAAGATGGATCCGATAAAGTACATCTTTGAGAAGCCTGCTCTGTCTGGGAGGATAGCTAGATGGAAGATGATCCTAACAGAATATGATATACAGTACACGACCCAAAAAGCTATAAAGGGCAGTGTGCTAGCTGATCATCTGGCCCATCAAGCTGTAGAAGATTATCAATCCATGAAGTTTGACTTCCCTGACGAAGACATCATGACAATAGACAACTGTGAAGAAATCAGACCATATGACGGACCTGAACAAGGATCCTGATGGACCCTGTACTTTGATGGGGCATCCAATGCACTTGGTAACGGTATCGACGTTGTACTCATATCTCTGGAAGGATGCCATACTCCTTTCACTTCCATACTTTGCTTTAACTGTATGAACAACATGGCAGAATACGAAGCCTGCATCTTTGGGCTCAAGGCTGTCATAGACTTGGGAATCAAATCCTTAGATGTATTTGGGGACTCAGCTTTGGTCATCAGTCAGATCTAAGGAGAGTGGGACACTAAGCATATATACCTTATCCCTTACAAAGAACATGTTTTAACATTGCTACCATATTTCGAGCAGATTACCTTCGAGCATTTCCCGCGAGAAGAAAATCAGCTAGCAAATGCTCTAGCTACAATGTCATATATGTTTAAACTTAATTGGGATAACGAGGCTCCCCAAATCACCATTGAACGGATGGACGAACCACCACACTGTCACGAGATTAATACCGAAGAAGTAGTGGACCAGCCTTGGTTTCATGAAGTCAAAAGGTATCTCGAGGCTCAAGAATACCCAGAAGGAGCTTCAGTCAATGATAAAAAGTTCTTAAGGAGATTCTCAGCTAAATTCTTCCTAAGTAATGGCATCCTGTACAAGTGTAATCATGATTCTATTCTGCTCCGTTGTGTGGACAAGATTGAAGCTGAAAAGATCATGGCTGAATTGCATGAAGGTACCTTTGGCACTCACTCTAGCGGGCATACGATGGCGAAGAAGATTCTACGGGCAGGCTATTACTGGTCTACCATGGAATCTGATAGCTATCAACACTCCCAAACTTGTCATAAGTGTCAAATCTATGCAGACAAGGTGTACGTGCCTCCGGTTCCTCTAAATGTCTTAACAACTCCCTGACCCTTCGCTATGTGGGGAATCGACATGATTGGGGAGATCAATCCTACAGCCTCCAATGGACACCGCTTCATTCTAGTGGCCATTGACTATTTCACCAAGTGGGTCGAAGCAGCTTCCTTCACATCCGTTACTAAGAATGTTGTTGCCCGCTTCATCAAGCAGAATCTTATTTGCCGGTACGGTATCCCCGAAAGGATCTCCATTGATAACAGTACAAACCTTAACAATACCATGATCACCGCTTTGTGCGAGCAGTTCAAGATTCAACATCACAATTCATCCCCCTATCGGCCAAATATGTATGGTGCAGTCGAAACTGCTAATAAAAACATTAAAAAGATCATACAGAAG